TATGTAGTCCTGGCTGCCCTAGAACTCACTATGTAGACCAGGTAGACCTGAAACTCACAGGATCCACCTACCTTGACCTCCTGAGTGCAGTAATTAAAGATATATGCCACTACATCCAGCTCTTTGTCTAGGGCTTTCAAATGTTGATGAACATTCCTGATTTTTATTTCCAGGATCTTGGTATTGGGCTCTTCACTGTAGAATGTTCCCATTGATATTCTTTGTTATGGCCTGTGTTATCTCTTTTTGTTTTCACAATTGCTTTTTATTTGACATCTAATATGTTCAAGGCACAGGATACAGTTATTAACACTTATAGGAACATATCAAGTATAAACATCCATGAAGCATTTGGGTCCTGTATGTCTTGTGTCATCTTGAGAGTACATTCTTATAGGAGGTAAAGAGGTCTTTGTGCTCACAGATAAGCACTAGGGGAACCAGGAATGTTAAACACACAGGGTTGTTCCTTCAAAGGAAGGGATGTATAACTGCCCAGAAGGCTGGGAGCAGACATGGTTAATAACCTGGTGACCTTTTGCTATTGGTGTGGCAGAGACCACATCAGATCTTCATCGAATCTCCTCCTCGAATGTGTTTTTCTTATTGTGCAGAACCCATCTTTATGGAAGGTGTCATATGTTTTACAAAGAGTTTTGATGTAGCTATGTCTGATCTTTATTTAGCTTGCTTTGTGCTTTTCTGTACACACAGGATTGAGTTAATCATCACCAGGAAAATTTTCACCAAATTTTAATGTGCTTAAGTATGCCTAAAGTAAACTTCTCAGGGTCAGACTCCTGAAGTTTGAACCACCACTGGCTATTTAGTCATATTGAACCAAAATACCTTCAGGCCTGCCTTAGTGGTAGTCATAGAGACACACCCCATACCCTAGTACATTCCAATGATTAGTCAGGATGGCTAGTCCCTCTTTGTCTCATTCAAGGGTCTTCTTATTCCCTGTGTAGGAAGGATAAACTTGTTATCTTAAACTTCAGAGAATTCATCATTACATAGTCCATTTCTTTAAAAAAAAGGGGGGGGGGATAGGGCATCTAAGATAGTGTCATTTTCATCAATTGGTTCTGTTTTAACCATTTTTTGTTTCCACAGAGAAACTTATTTGACAATCATGACTTTACAGTGGCAACAAGTTTAGCAGGCAACAATGAAGGGAAAAATTCACAGGCTATCCCTGTAAATCAGCTCTGGCCACTGTGATCAAAAGGAACAGAAGACTCTAGCAAGAACATGTGCATCTATTTTCAGTACCCCAATCTAGTTTAACAACTGTTGTGAGCAGGCCTTTTATGAAGAAAAAATGGCATCCTTTGCTTTTGAAATTTTATATATTTTTAAAACTTTTTATGTAGATTGAAGCAACCTCCTGCCTCAGAGCTTTGCTGTTTCCTTCTAGCTTTTGATTCATGGCTTTCATATATTCCAGAACTGTCTCCTTCTTCAAAGTCTCCCTAAGGACTGTTTCCTTCTCTCTTAGGTCAGAACTTTGCCCAATATTCCCCTCTTCTATATTTCTACATCCTTGTTTCAATCAAACTTTATGAAAATATTTCTGTTGCTTGCTCAACTTCCTTCTTAGTGTTCACTTTCTTAATATAAAAATCACAACACCAACCTCAAAAAGGATAAGCAATATTTTATTCTGGATCCAAATATGAGTGATCATGTCCTGGAAACATAGATTTAAGTTACTCCCAAGCTCTATGTTCCAGTGTGAAAGCATTTATGTTAAGTTATTGCAGAAACAGAACAAAGGAAGTCTTAGATAGGACACTTTTAAATACATTGGTGGAAATAGTAGGTAGGCTGTTTAAAAATAAGTGGGGATAGCTAAGAGCCTCAAATATGTTTTTATTTAGCAAAAGACCCAGGGTCTTTGCAAATGATAATTAAAATGAGACTATTAGAGTGGAATGTCATCCAGTAGTACCAGCACCCTCATGAAAACAGGAAAAACAGACAGACACACACACAGAGGGAGCATGATGTGAAGTCTGGGAGTGAAGGAGGTCGAGTAGTCACTCACTGACAGACTTTGCCTTTCTAATTATTTGCCTCCTTAGTCATTGTCCTGGTTGATTTATTTTGTCAATGTGATGCAAGCTAGAGGTATCTGGGAAGAGGAATTTAAATGAGAAAACGTTTCCATCAGATCAGCCCACAGAGAAGTCTTGCATTGTATTTTCTTGATGAATGATTGATGTTCCAGATCACTGGAAGTGGTGCCACCCTTGGGCAGATGGTCCTGAGTTATATAAGAAAGCATCATGAGCAAACCCACTGAGAGCAAGCCAGTAAGCAGCACTCCTCCATGGTGTCTTCCTCAGCTTTTGCCTCAGTTTCTGCACTGACTTTTCTTGGTGATGGAGTGTCACTTCAGAGTTGTAAAATGAAATAAATTCTTTTCTTCTCAAGTTGCTTTCGATCATGGTATTTTATCATAGTAGTAGTAACCTAATTATTGACAGTCATTCTCTTCAGCAGTTACACTGAACTCCAGGATCACAGCACTGATAATAACATCTTTATGACAAAAGTCCCAAATTATACCTTGTAGGACAGAGCAGCTGTTCCCAAATGAAGATAATACCAGTTACTCAGGTGATGAGGCTGGAACAGGTATCATCATTCCATGAGACGCAGATACTTCCCTCAAGTGGTGATAGCAATAACAACTTCAAGACAAGGACCAGAATTTAGACAATGACCAATTGACCACTGGCACCTTGAAGACAGACTTAGGAACACTGCTTCCCAATGTGGCTATGTTAACTTAATCTGCTTTCTTTATCATTTACCACCACTCAGTAAATTTTTTGATTGGCATGTGGAAAAAATGGTGGAGTCTAGTCCTTTGAAATTCCTGGAAAACAGAGCTTTTCTTATAAAATTCCTGTAACCTGGGAAGGTAATATCTAAGCCAAAGGATTCCTGAAACTGGAAAGAAACTAAAATAAAAGCAGGGAACAGGTCCTCTTTCTTAGTCCTTACAGAGAACCAGCCTTGTCAACACTTTCATTTCTGAACCGAGGCAATAGTTGCTATTGTTTAAGTTGCTTGGTTGATGGCAGTTTGTCAAGGCAGAAAACTGACACACATGGCTGCTCGATCATCTTATCATCACTGTGAGCTCAATATATCCCAGTCAACTTGTTATCTCTCCTCTGACGGAACTCATCTTCCTGTGTTCTCTGTTTATTGGTCTATCTGGTCTCACTTTCCTCTGTCTTCTCTAGCACCCACCCAACTAAATGGTAGGTTCCTCAAATCCTACCACATAAACATATCCTATTCCTCTTCTCTTTGTCTCAGTTCTCTCTGCCTTATTCTAGTCCCTAAAACTGCCGCAAAGATCTGTATTTAGATGATTATTTGGCTAGTCATCATAATTCTGAAATTTAGAATGCTCCATCTAGCAAGATCTGCCTGTGTAACTATTGCTTTGAGTCTTACTTTACTGCTTATAAGATATACTCAAACTCTCTCTTATGACACATGAGCATGGCATGCTTTCACTGCACACGTTCCTCTAATTTTATGCTGTGTACTTTTCTAATTGAATATACAGATAGGGGACTCCCTTCACAGTGTACCCTCGTTCTTGCTTTTATGCTTTTGTAGAAATTGGATTCTTCTTTGGGAAATCTGACCATAGACATTCAATCCTTTTAACATCTAGTCCAGGAATTGACTGATGGAAGAAATCTTCTCTGTGTATTTCAGCATTGGATTGCAAACCTTCATCTTTGTCTCATGTGTGTCCCTCTAGTATATAAGGCAGTTTTTGCCAGGTACTTTAGAAGGAAAACTGTATTTAGTTTATTCTAGTGCCCCAACCAACAGATTGGAACTTATATCAAGATAATAGTCATTGCTGTGTTTGCTCATGCTTGGTCTCTCTAACCTTACCATGATCTGTACTCAGAATGTATTACACTGCCTCTGTGGGAAATGACTTGAGGACAGTAATATCTGTGTCAGACAGTAGAGGTTAGCAATGGGGAACAGTCCTTAATGCTGTCCTGGGCCACTGAACTTGGTCTGACCCACTGATACCTACAAACCATTACTATGCCTGTTTTACTTTTGAGCCCTGTGTTTTAATCACTTAATTAGGCAGATCCCACAGAAGAAAGATAACAGCCACAGTGGGCAATTTTAGGATAGTGTGAGATAATTTGCACAGGATCAGGCAAAGGGCAAGAAAGGGTTCTAGGGAGAATCAGAGCTGGCACAAAGAAAGACAAACAAACCAACAAACAAAAAAAGACCAAATGGACAGAGGGAGGAAGTTACCAGAGCACATGAAGAGGGTTGCCTGCTGGGACTGGGGTTCCTCAGACTAAATTTTCCTTTCTCTATTAAAACTCTAGTCAAAGCTGGTAGACTAGGGAGTGTGGGGTACAGGCCACACAACTCACCTTCCAGTAGCCTGAGCACAGAAAAAAAGAACGGAACACATGTGGAACATGTAACAATACCAATCTAACAAATAGAAACTTCAGGCTAGGAGTATTAGCCAGTGGTAGAATGCTTGCTTCCAATACCACATACACAAAAAGAAATTAATACTAAGTCTGACAAATAGAAAATAAATAATTGCTCTACTCACATTACCACTCTGGACCAAGGGTTCAAAAACTTTTGTTCTTGCCTTTAAAAATTGTAAAAACTACCATGTCAGTACCCACATTCTCATTTAAAAGATGACAGCCTGGTCCTTTGCTATCACTTTATTTGACATTTTATTCATCTTATGTTTTCTTCACAAGAACTCTGAATGAAAGTAGGGAAAAACCCTGATATCACTTTTGACGGAAGTCTTACCACATAGGAAGCAGCATGCATAATGTTTTTTTTTTTTTTTTTTTTTTTTTTTACTGGTAGGGCAGCTGAGGAAAGAAAATGACAGGAAGTTAACAATTTGAAGTCCTGCTTCTGTGACTATACCTCTACTGAAATCATGGCTGTTACCTTCACAAACGAGTGATGGTCCTCTCTTTAGCCCATTCTTGCACTTCTGTTTTCCCAAACACGAGGTAGATGATTAAGCCAAATTGGCTAATGGCAAGCAATAAGAAAAAGAAATTTCTCCAGCCGAGTTCAGGATCCTGGGAACACAAGACCCCAAATACATAATATTTTTCTCATCTCTTTTTCTATGAAACTAATTCAGATGACAGTCTCCAAGGGTTTTTCATGCTTCGATTCATTTCCTAGGAGTGTCTTGGTACTTAGAGAAAGGAAACCCAAATATACTCAAAATGTTCTACATAAGAGAGATTTGAAGATCCTTGTGATTGACCTATAGAGCTATGCTTGTCATTATTATCAAGTGTCACACATATTCTTTGTTGCCCAACATTGCCTTCAAATGTTATGCTAAAACTGGTTTTAAGATTCTTCCACCAATGGCTCAATGGGATGAAAAGATACTGGGCGTCAGAGCTATTTCCTCGGATCAGAAAGATTCATTTTACCAGACTTTCAGTTTAAACATTAGGAGGTGAGGGTGATACTATTAATTTTTGTACTGATGTGAGAATGAACAGCCAAACAAGATTGTGATGTATAAAATGCTTGTCCTACGTTTTTAATCCCAGCACTCAGGAGGCAGAGGCAGGTGGCTCTCTGTAAATTTGAGGACAGCCAGGGAAACCCTGTCTGGATTAAAAAAATGTTTGTCATAATACCAGCCGGACACTTAACCATCTTACCCTCCTCTCCTTCCCTGTGTGTGGTTATTTATACAAATGAAAATTCAGACTTAGATGGCTGGGCAGGTCAACATGGATACCTTATCCTGAGACACCTATGGAGTTGTTTGTTTCCCATTTCAAATGGGGATTATGTGTGGAGCTGTGGTTAGTTCTTTGACTCCAGAATGACCTCAACTCTGGTTCATTCTGCTCTATACTTCATGGTCACCCAAAATTCAACACTATTTACTAATATTTGAATATACTCTTTGGCTATTATTACTTTTACAAATGCATGTGGGAGTGTGTCTTGGCATGGAAACTACCTGATTGAGGAAAAAGCCGCCAACAATGGGTACCAGCACAGCTGATGAATGTGCCAATCCTCTTGCCGATCCCATGAGAAGGCTGGCATACCTGTGGGTGACAGCAATGTCCCAAGCTAAATCCAGACATACTTAACAGTATCTTTCAGCCTGCTTTATGTATGAATCCACCACATCAAAAAGGACTTGGGCTGTGTGTATTCAATGTGAGGTGATATGACAAGTCCAAATCCCTCCACCCAACACACCCTAGGCCCATCTATGGTCCATGCTTATAATTTATTTTTTTCCAAACTCTGAGATCCCAGAATACTATAGATCAACCCCTGCCCCCATGCCCCAAAGAAAATGTGAAACTAAGAGTAGATGAAAGTGTCCTACCTTGGGGCAATATCTAAAGCATTGATATAGACTCCTGACTGACACAGAGGGCTTATTCCACAGGAAAGTGTCAGAAATGCAATCGATGTGACATAGCTGGACTGGACATAGGGCAGAGCCACAATGAGGGCTGCTGGAGGAACAGTTCCTAGGGAATGTGAACAGGGAAATCGGAGAGTGAGATGCATTCTTTGACTGTTGAATACTCACAAGTCATTCAACTTTCATGTCCTGTTCTTACCTAAAGTTGTGATGATTTTCCTCACAATTATGAGCCTAAAATTCTTTCTCAGAAGAAAATCTGCCAGCTGACCTCCAAAGATACCAACAGCCCAGGCGACAATAAAGGGAAGAGAAGACAGGAACCCATTCTGAGGTGAAAAGACTGAGTGAATGACCATAATTAAGGCAGTGAAAAAACTTGTGGTAATTCCCTAATAATCACACTCTGAAACCATCCCCCACCCTTGGGAATACCCCCAGCAAAGTTGCTGTCCTTGGTCTGAAAGGTCAGATTATTTTGGGTAATGAGAGTTAATAGCCTGCCAGTAGAATGATTAATGACAGCTGAACAGTTGAAGAATCATGCAAACGTGAGGAATGAATGGAGTGAAATTTACTCACATCTCTGATGTTAACTTTGAACACAGAGTTGATGTAGGTTGGGGTGTATACCATAAAGGTGTTAACGAGCCACTGGTGGGTCATAGTGCAAAGACACATGGACCAGAGTGGCAGAGATCTGAGCATGGCTTTGATGGGAAGTGACTGCTTTTCTGAGCTGACCTGAAAGCAAATACATTGGTCTGAGCAGTAAGATCAACATGAGGCTCAGAGGCCCAGCCACCTTAGGAGATCAGATGTAGATGCATGGTTTCTGCCGGGTCTGGAGTGTTTATGAGTACCTGTTGCTGCTGCAGAGAGGATAAGATGTATTCCTTTTCTGAATCGCTTATCCACGGGTGAGAGACAGGGTCGTCATAAACCAGAATGAACCAGAGAAGGCAGCAGACACAGCCAATGGCTCCTGCAATCAAGGGGAGAGTTCACGAAAGAGCTCATTTTGTCTTTTTTTTAAGTGGACTTTAAATTATGGAATAATGATAGGTTTGTTTAAATGTTGCAAAGATAGCCTTGAGTTGCCACACAACTATTGTCTTGTGTCTCCACTGTTGACTCCTTACTATTAAACACTGAACTTTATATATGGATTTCACATTTCTCTTTTTAATTGGTATAATAGTCATTGCATATAATGTTAGTTTTTAGTAATTCCTTTTAAATATATCACATATTTTGAGCATGCCATTCCCTTGCTAGTTGCTTCTGTCCCCCCGCTACCAGTTACTAATCTCCTTCCTCAGCTGCCTGTCTGCTTTTATGTATGTACATGTATGTTATGACCCACGTATGTATGTATGTGTATGTAAATATGTTTATAAAGAAGTTTAGTTTCCATAAATGAAAGAAAATATGTGGGTTGTTTTCTGTAGATGAGATGATGGGGGATATCCTTCTGTATGCTATGAATGTATGTTCCTCTTATTGGTTGATGAATAAAACTGTTTGGCCAATGGACAGACAGGATGTAGCCAGGCAGGAAGTATAGGTGGGACTACCAGACAAGGAGAATTCTAGGAACAGGAACACAGAGAGAAAGAGTGAGTTGAGACAGAGACACCATGTAGCTGCCAAGAAAGCAAGAGGTCCAGGCATCACCGGGTAAGCCAAAAGTTTGTGGAGATACACAGATTACTAGAAATGGGTTAATAATTTTTTAAAAAGCTAGCCAATAAGAAGCCTTAGCCATTGGCCAAACAGTTTATAATTAATAATTATAATTAATTATAATTAATAACTAAATGGCTGCAGGACTGGGTGGGACAGAAAGTTCTGTCTACAGTTTTCTGTATCTAACTTATTTCTCTTACTATTATAATCTCTAGTTCCATCCATTTTCCAGAAAAAAAATGACACAATTTCAATCTTCTTTCTGGCTGAATCAAATTCCACTGTGACTCTGTACCACATTTCCTTTATCTGTTCCCTGTTGCTGGCCATCTAGGCTAGTTCCATGTCTGAGATACTGTGAACAGTGCAGCAATGATTATGGATGTGTAGGTATCTTTGTGTTTGGCTGCCTGAGAGTCTTTTAGATGTATTGAATGAATGGCTTGCTTCCATGTTGGAACATTTTCTAAGGTCAACCATTGCCAAAGCTCCTTCTGAGCCCTTCTCAATTCTCAAACAAGCTGTCTCATACATTTTTTGTTTATTTGTATATGGGAAAGGTGTCACAGACCTTAGGGAGAGTATAACACTTAGTGTCAATATTTTCAGTATTAGCCATTTTAATAGATATATGTACATATCCCATTGTAATTTTGATTCTTATGCCCCTGTATATTTGGTGAAATGTTTCTGCTGATTTTCAATTGAAGGTTTGTATTCTCATTGAGTTTTGAAAACTATTTATAAATTTTAGAGAAACATAATTGTTTTGTAGCTATTTTCTCTTTAAATTGGTTTGTCCTTTTATTATCTTAGCAAGGCCTTTTGAACAGGATTTTTTAAAACTGTTGATATCCAATACATTGATTTCATCTATGGCTCATACTGTTGGTGTCATATTTAGGAATTGTTTGACTAAGTAAATAACAACGAATTTCCCCCCTTTTTCTTCTAGAAGGATAATTTTTGCAGATTGTATATGTAGTCTGGTGTTGGGGGGGCATTGTCTTCCTTGATTTCTTTGAGACAGACATCTCTGACTCTGGAGCTCACCAATATGCCTAGGCTATCTGGCTAATATTTCTTCAAGGTTTTGTTTTCTTATCCTACTCCTGCTCCACAGAACATGGTTTTGAGTAGCCCAGACTAGTTTCAAGCTGTCCATGTAGGTGAAGCAGTACTTTCTTCATTTCTAGTTAAACGGAAGTCTTGGGGCTAATAGTGAAGTTACCATGAATTACTCTCAGTGTTTGATATTTTCTTTTCTATGGGAAACATGAGACTTGCCCAGAACCCTGCCCCCTTGTTATGTTTAGCCAAAGACAAACCCCATAGTTACAATTACCTCCCTGTACTGCTTTCTTCTGTGTCTTAAAAAGCACTATTCTGCAGGCCTTCCCCTCTTTCCTGCAAGGCACAGTGAAACCGTGATGACTGAACCTTATGGCAGGAGAGTACTACTTTTTATGAAGCCAGAGGATTTCCACATGTTGGCTAGCAAAAGTTATTTCTTTATATTATGATATTTTGTTTCCTTAACGTTTTTATGTTTTGACTCTCTTCCTTCAGAAAAGGATACACAGACGCACAACCTCAGAACATTACTGATATCTCAGAAGCCAGCAGCTTACCAAAGATATAGAAGACAAAGGGCCATCCAAGGGCTTCACTAATGATGCCACCTACAAGGTTGACAGCAAAGGCTCCCAATATCATTCCTGTAGAAAGACAGAAAGAAGGTAATGGGACCCCTGCCTTCTGTCAGACAAGTTTTGTAGGCTGGAAGATGAACATGGAGAAGTGCCACCAAATCACAGAAGAAGCATGTGCAAATGTAAAACCTTCAGACTGCTGGCATTCCAGATCTGGGGGTCTGAATGCAGTTCTCTGTCAAATGCACTTCGGTGTAGGCATGGAGCTTTAGGCTTGGCTCTCACCAACCTAAGAAGTGGGTGGAGCCAGCCACTAAAGCCAAGGTGGAGGTCCTAACCGTGATCAGAAAAGGACAGAGGAGACACAGTAAAACAGGTTCAGACAGAAAGAACTTCTAAACAGGTTTCAGTGAGTTTAAAATTGTGTGTAAACTTAAGAAAAGAGAAAGAATAGAGTCAGCCATAGGAAGACATTGTTTAAAAATAATACAGCAAATCTATGGGGCCTTGGGTAGTATTTATCCCTGCTGTACAAATAGACTTTCAGTGTCCATCCCACATGAAGCATGTTCTCTCAGCCTGGACTTTTGAAGGAGGGCCTAGACCCTACCCTGAATGACATGACAGACTCTGGAGATCTACCATGGAGGGCCTCACCCTCCCTGGGGATTGGAGTGGAGATTGGGTGGGGGACTGGAGGGGGGTCTGGTGGGAAGGGATGGGGAGGAGAGGACGGAGAGGGAGCTGGGATTGACATGTGAAACAAACTTGTTTTTAACTTTAAAAAAAAGACTTATTAAACTTATTGAACTACCAATAAACTTATTAGACTTTCATATGATAAAAATAGTAATAAAGCAAAGTCTTTAAAGAGAGTAAAAGTAATATAAAAGAAAAAAGCCATGTAATAATGGAAAATACACAGTGAGCCTGGATCTTATATAGCATTGTGTTCATTTTGAATGTTTTGATTGCTGATAAGCAAATGAAAGCTGCTAAGAGACATGGGATTGAAAGAGAGACTGCTGAAATATACCAATCTAGATATTTCAAGAATGCCTTAACTTTAAAATGGAACTCAAAAATGCATTGCTTCGGAGAAATTTTGCTTTTATTTCCATGGGAAATGAGATCCTATGGATTCCTTCAGGGTTGATATGAATCAGGTTTGATTGAGAGACCTCCTGAAATATATATATATATATGTATATATTACAGTTGGTATTTCCTGTACTTGGCCATTATCTCAATTTTCTCAGGGATCCCTTAGATGCTTTCTCCTACAGACAAAAGGAAGCAGTCTAGAAAAGATGACACCCACATTCCCAAGAGATGGGGTGGGTGGTCTTTGGTTATTTAGTAGGTTATGGATGTTTGTTATCATTTGTGGGAATATAGGATAAAAAGACAATGATTAATCTCAGATGTTTTGAACTGGCATAGATTTTGGTATATTGATACAGATTTAAAGTTATTTTTGTTATACTGTATGTATGTTTCTACTCCCATTTGGCATATTGTGCTTATTTAAAATGCTCATTTAAAAATGCAATGTATAATTAAGAAATGAGGTTGGCACTTAATCAACAATAATCAAATTTGTCATCACATTAGGTATTTTCAAGGTTAAACAGGTATATTTTAGACAGATGATTTTCAAACACTTCAAAGACCTACAAATTGTGGCATTTAAGATGTTTAATAACCTAAGGTTTTTCATAACAATGAGTCGCTTCTGCTCCTGACAGTAACAATTTACTTCTTAAAAGGATGATGGGCATCAAAGAAATGCTGTATGGAGTTTGCTTTCAATGTGAAAAGCTAGCCATTTGGGCAAGAAACTGCTCTTGCCTTGACTGCTAAGAGTATGCTGTATAGATAAGTCAAGTAGTACACAGGAAAAAGACTGTTGAACTTTGCCAAGGCAAGGCAGGACATTACTTTGAGATTCCTACTTCACAGAGGAGTCTGCCAGATATTCTTCAGGACTCAGAGGAAAGCAAGTGAGGAACTTTGCCAGTAAAAGGTGGGAAAGACCTTCAAATTACCTGCTTCACTGAAAAATCTGCCAGATATTCTAGACCTGTAGACCAAAGATGGGTGTCCCAAAATTGCAGAGGAACTTTGGGTGACTGTCCAGGTATCCAGATGTCTCTGTTGTTAGGTAATAGTACATCCTACTAGGGTCTTTGATGTAGGTAAAGACTAACTAGTTAGAATTATAGTTTTCCTTAGTTATAATAGAAAATAAATTAGGTATAAAAACTTTGGAATCACTAAGATAAGATAGATAATTAAGTATTTTCTCTAAATTTCTTAAATACAAATAGAAAAATATTGTAAATGTAATTCTTCCCTGATAACTATTTTTGTTATATATAGTTTTACTATGTTAGAGTTAAAACCTTTCATTTTATTTCAACAAAAGGGAAAAATGCTGCAGAATACTAGTTTAAAATGTGTTACATTTGTTTATGCCATGGAATATTTGTTTAATGATGTAAAGATGTGCTTCTGCTGGGCGGTGGTGGTGCACGCCTTTAGTCCCAGCACACGGGAGACAGAGGCAGTCGAATCTCTGTGAGTTCGAGGCTGGGCTGGACCAATAGCTTCCAAGACAATACAGAGAAACCCTGTCTCGTAAAAACCAAAAAAAAAAAAAAAAAAAAAAAAAGATGTGCTTCCTTCTTTTATGTTGCTCTGTAGAGCTATGTTGCTTTACCTGTGTAAAACACTTGATTGGTCTAATATTGAGCTGAATAGCCAACAGCTAGGCAGGAGACAGAGGACAAGTAGGGCTGGCATGCAGAGAGAATGCATAGGAGGAGAAGAGAAAAGAGAAAGGAGTGGAAAAAGGAGAGGGAGAGGAGGATGCCAGGGGCCAGCCACCCACCCACAAAACCAGCCATAGATTAAGAAGTAAAGAGAGGTATATAGAATAAAGAAAGGTAAAAGCCCAGAGGCAAAGAAAACCGGGTGGAAACAAGCCAAGATAATGCCAGATATTCATAAGTAAGAATAAGTCTCCCTGTTATTATTTGGCAGCAGGATGCTGGACCCCCCAAAGAATAAGAGGGAAAAAAAACAACTACAATTGTTTGTCTTTTTTTTTTTTCTGTTTCCCTTTGTCTCCAGTTACAGACTCTCTCTGCATTGTGTGGCATGCTGGGTGCAGTTCTTCCATCTTTAACTTTCACAGTCAACAATTACAGATATTTGTGAAATCAGATCTATGGCCCTCTAGATTTACTCTTTTGCCTAGATGTCTTTTTAACACACACTGCAATGTAGAAATAATAGTTTACATATTCTTTTTCTTAAATAAACTGCCCTAGGCTGGCCTTTTAATAACAGGAAAGGGAGCATCTGGAAGAGAATACCAAATTCCGGGCTGCAGGTATAGCAAGCTGGAAGTGAATACCTATTCTACCACCAGGTCCACTCAATCCATAGCTTTCCCCAAATGTCTGCCTTTACGTTGATTAAAATTGGGGATAGGGGCCGGGCGTCAGTGGCACACACCTTTAATCCCAGCACTTGGGAAGCAGAGGCAGGCGGATCTCAGTGAGTTCGAGGCCAGCCTGGTTTACAGAGCCAGTTCCAGGACAGCCTCCAAAACAATACAGAGAAACCCTGTCTTGAAAAACCAAAAATAAAATAAAATAAAATGGGGGACAGATTCCTCTTTTCAGCCAAGGTCATGTCCTTTCTTGTTCTCTAGACTTACCCCTTCTACCTCAAGCCTGGGCTCTTAAGTACACATCTCACTCTTCCCCTCACTTTCTTCTCTGCTTTTGACTCCTTCCTGACTTCATGCAATGCCAATCGCATAGGATCCACAAGTTGTGTGCTCTGTTGCATAGTATCAGGCAGAGTGTAAATAATAATAACATACTACATTTCAAAAAATCTAAAAGGGAGAATTTTGAACAATTTCACTGCAAAGAAATGATCAGTTTTAGAGGAGATGGATATGCTTAGATTTGAACATCAGTATTTACATGTACTGAAATATCTCATGGCACCATGCCATTAACATATATGATTTTTGAGTCAACTAAAAACAGATTTAAAAGTTAAAATATTTTTCAATATTCTAACAAATAAAAAGAGTAAAAACAAAAGATGTTCTCAGAACAATTTAGAGCAATTCCAAAAATTATTAAGTTGAATCCATATGTCACACTGAATACAAATATGAGCTTCATATGATTGTCAGGAAATGATATATAAAAATTAAACAGTGAAAATTCATTTAAAAAAACATGGGTAATTGCTTTTACAACCTTTCTGTCAATGAGTTGATATTAAATTCCATAAAATAAAAGTGATCGGCCAGGCGGTGGTGTCACACGCCTTTAATCCCAGCACTCAGGAGACAGAGGCAGGTGGATCTCTGTGAGTTCGAGGCTGGGCTGGACCGACAGCCTCCAAAACAATACAGAGAAACCCTGTCTCGTAAAACGACAAAAAAGTGATCAATTTAGAGACATAAAAAATATTTTTAAATGTCAGAAATCATGTAATAAACAAAGTTATGCCACAAACTACACCACAGGCAAAATAAGTCATGTTACAAATGAAAAGTTAGTTTCCTTAACCTGCATAAACACTTCATTAACATCAAGTAAAAGATAAAGAACTGTTCAACAGGAAATTTGTTGAGGAGCCCAGTGGGAAGTGTTAGGTTGCCAGGCACCTGTGTGGACTGCACATCTGTACCTGATAGAGCAATGCTACAGAGTCGGCTTCGTTCATTCGGAGGAGCCCATCTCTGCCAGAGTGCATACTGACCCCCATATCCAATGCCCTGAAATAGAAATGGTTAAAGATGTTGATATGTCGCCATATAGAAATTCATAACCAGCTCAGAGTTTGAAAGTACTTAGTATCTGAGGCTGGGTGAGGTGACACACATATTTAATCCCAACACTCAAGAGGCAGAGGCAGGAGATGGGTCTCTCTGAGTTCAAGGTTAGCCTGGTCTACATAAAAAAAGAGAGAGAAAGGGAAAGAAGATAGAAATACACAAAAAGCTTCATACCTGAGCTAAGCCCTGGATTGCTCGCGTTGCCAGGAAAAAAGCTAGTCCAACACTGGTAACCACTGGGATGCAGAGAGTGAGCAGTGAAGATGCGAGCAGAGCAATTCCAACCACTTTCTTTGTTCCTATTTTCCCAGCCAAGTATCCAGCAGGACCCTGCATCAGCATCATGCCATACTGGGCAGAGCTGAAGATGAATCCTTGGGTTTGAGGACTCCAGTTATACACAGGGGCCTTTGGGAAGCACAAAATCTTGTTATGAGCCATATACTGGAAGTCATTTACCTAGTCTAAGAATCCTCATTGGATCTGAATTTTCCCAATTAAAGTTTTTGAACAGAGCTGGACCTTGTAATAACAGCTACTCAAGGGGCTGAGGCAGGAGAGACACAAGTTCAAGGCTGGCCTGGACTACAAAATGAGCTCAAGGTCTGCATGGACAATTTAATTAGACACTTTCTAAAATGGAAAAGAGAAAAGGAAGAGGACTGGAAAGTAGCTCAGTTGTGGGGCAATTAGTCTAGAATGTGTAAAGCCCTGGCTTCTTTTTCCAGAACTACAAAATGGAGTTTCAAACATATAAACTCAAGAAAAACAAAATATAAAAACGAATAGCAGAAATCTGAGCATAGGGTCTGGAGAGATGGCTCAGTTGGTAAAGTGCTTGCTGTGCAAGCATGACAAGATCATTTTAATGTCCAGAATGCACATAAAAAGTCCAGCATTGTGGCTTTTAACCCACCACTGAGGAGGCAGAAACCTGAAAATCCCTGGGACTCGCTGGGCAGTTAGCACAGCCTAACATTTAAGTCTCAGATCCCAGTAGGAGATCCTGTCTCATGATACAATGTATATGGCTTCTGAGTTATGACACCCAAATTTGACCTCTGGCTTTCACATACATGAACGCACATGTGGGCAACACACACACAAACACACACACACACACGAGCACAAACAAATTCTGCATTGCCTACCTTTGCAGAAAGATGATTTGCAGCTTCATGTTGGTCACCATTTAAATTGGCTTCGGTGGAGCTATTGAGGTGAGGTTGGTAGTCTGTGTTGTTGACCATGGCTACCATAGTGATGCTTATGATGGAATTCTGTGCTATCAATGTGAAGTTGCTGAAATGTGTGAGCAAGGCTATTCCGTAGCGCATGGAACATAAACTCGGGACTAGAAACAGGACATCACATCATGGCTTGCTTTATTGAGCTAACATTAATTTTCCACAAGATAAAATAGAAATCTTGGCTTGGTGGTATAAGCCTGTAATCCCAGCACTTGGGAGGCAGAGGCAGGAGGAATAGGGGTTTGGCCATCATTGGCTGTCTTTTGAGACCATCTAGATATGACCTTGTCTGAAAGTCACTACTGATCATCTGATGACTTAAATGACCCTTCTGTTTCTGTTGGAGTCAGGAAAAGGAGATTCAAAAGCAGTTGATCAGTGCATTGAGTCAAGGAAGATTTTATACTACAGAGTTATAGAGCCTGGCTTCCTTTGGGGCTTTCTGTCTTTCCTGTAATTTTGCCTTTCCCGTTCCTAAGTCATTCAGTTTTAGAGCTGTTAAAATGATTCATAGCAAGTAAGTATAAAACTTACATTAAAAGTTAAATATATATGACTTTAAATACTTAATAAATTATATGTAAAATTACATGCATATGTATATATATAGTATATATAACTGGTGATATGCCATATATTGTTTATCTTAGTGTCACAAATACAATGTTTGTAATATATTATGCCTAATGAATACAAATAAAATTTAAAGTTTGAAGAAGTTGAAGATAGACTTTCATTTAAAATGTAAAATCGAAAAAAAGAATCAAGTTTAAGATATAAGTCCTATCCTCTTGATTTCCTCATTAGGGAAATAGATGCCTCAAATGCTGAAAACCCGTAGTGAAGCTATACTAGAAAAAGAAGTGAGTTTAGTGTTGCAATGATCATTGTGTGTATCGCTCCAGGGAAATCCATCCACCCCTTTCCAAAGCCTAGCTGTGTTGTCCAAAGCACTGAAAACACAGGTAATGTGCCCCTGTGAGTGACATGAGAGAATGGTTCAGAAATGGAGCTCTGCGGAACACTGGTTAGATAACTGATTGCTTCCTGAGTTCTTAGGCAGCTTTCTATTACTTCTGCAGTGGGCACTGTGTAGGTACCTTGGTAGTACACATTAGATAGACCTGGCATGGTAAGAAGATTATATGACTGCAGCAAGATATGTTCACCTGACCACAGGTATCCTCCACAGAGGGACTTAAGCTAAGGGAACTCTGGAACACATTCCACTCCTTTATTTCCCAGAAGAAGTAGAGGTTAGGTAACAATTGTGGTAAGTAGCTTAGCATCTTCTCAGGGTGTCAAAGAGCTCCCAGTGTTTTGCATGGGTACCTTATCAGATCAAATGTCTGTCTCTTGGGGAAGCCTAAGTCTATCCAGCTCATTTTGTGGCTGAGCAAGCCAGTTGGTTCACTTCAGGGAACTGGATAGGAACATGAACGATCACTCTCGTAAGCCAGGCTCTCCAGTCTAGTTTGTATAGTCAGCTCTTATGGAACACATACCTATTGATCATTCTCCATGTGTAGTAGCAGTACACAGCGAGTGAACCTCACATTCCAGAGAGGAGGACAACATGCAAAGGCAAGACAGTAAGTCTGCCTTAGAGAGTGTCAGTGCTTTGCAGAAAATAAAACAGTCTGACAGAATCCCAGGGACATGTCAGAGAGTTTTGGTTATGCAGGCGTCTGAGGGGAAGGCACACTCAGGAAAGTGGAAATGCCCTGCAGTGGAAGGAGAGTGCCTGCAGTGAGTGTTCAAAGAGCCAGCACCAGGTGAGTGTGACAGAGGAGACAGACAAAGCAGAACCTGGTCTTAAAGGCTGCATGGACTGTCCAAGGTACTGTGGCTTTTATTTTGAGTGGAGTAGTGTCCATTGAAGGGATGAGAAAGGATGAGACCCAGAGAAGACATTAAGCCAGGCTGCCTAGTGAGATGGCGTGTTGTTTCAGGTTATTGACTTTAAGGTGATATGCCTGCAGGGATTATTGGGTGGCATTGATATAGGCTACTTGAATGTATTACTTGACTACAAAATAATTTTTTCAAAGGCTCTCCTTAACTTTAATTGTCAACTTGATACAGCCTGGAGTCACCTGAGAAGGGAGTCTCAATTGAGGAATTACCTAGATCAGACTAGCCATTGGGCACGTCTTGACTTTCAATTGGTGTAGGAGTTTCCAGCCCACTATGGGTGGCACCATTCCCTGAGCAGGTGGTTGTGGGCTATGTAAAAAAGCTAGTTATGCATGAGCCAGAGGTTGAGCCAGCAAGCAGCATTCTTTCGTGGTTCCTGATGTACTTCTTGGCTGAGTGAGTTCCTTCATTAGAGATAGTATTGAGAAGAATAGCAAGCACGCTCGCCTTTGAGTGCCTGCCTTGATGTGCCTCAGTAATAGACTGCAACCTGTAAGCTAAAATAAACCTTCCCTCTCCTAAGTTGCTCTTGATCGAAGTATTTTATCATAGTAGCGGATGTAAAGCTAGAACAAAGGAAGGGTGGTAAGCACTGACTAACATTTGCATTTTAAAGCACTGAAATTTTACTGAGACAATATAAAACAGCAGAAAAATCAATGAAATAATAACAATAAACCCAAAGAATGGACTACTGTGTGTGTGTGTGTGTGTGTGTGTGTGTGTGTGTGTGTGTGTGTGTGTGTAGGATGTGGCATGGAATGAAAAAGCACTAAATTACCCTGTTGTAGAGAAAGACAATGTTGGAGTCATATTCCTCATTTAAATAAAAGAAAAAAGTAGGGGATCAGTACGGCAATACTACATTTTTGACACTGAAGCTACATTTAAGCACTTCTTTGTTTGCCTTGTTAGGTTTTGTTTATTGTGATAGGGTCGATTTGGAGAGCCCAGGTTAGTCTTAAGCTCAGGGTCTTCCTGCCTCAGCCTCTGCAGTGCTTGGATACTGGGTATTCACTGCCATGTCCAGCACCATGTTTCTATTTTCATTTACTAAAAATCAATTGATCAACTGATGAGCAACTCAAGTTTAAGTCAGTTAACAAATAAAAAATAAACCCCTGAGCTCTGACAACCCCCCAAAATTTTCCAAAGTTTTTTTTAACTGGATAGCAACTCCATTTTTCCAAACACTCTTCAGTTTTCTTACTTTACTTAATATTTTTTGCAAGGTGTGTGTGTGTGTGTGTGTGTGTGAGAGAGAGAGAGAGAGAGAGAGAGAGAGAGAGAGAGAGAGAGAGAGAGAGGGAGAGATGCTAGTTTGTATACCCTAAAATAGTTCTCTTTACTTTGTTTTTTAAGCCCTTTATCCAGTTATTCTGGAACATACTTCTGTCTTTTCACGTAAGATACTCCAGCCACTCAACCCACTTCTCTCTTTTGGTTTGGGGCTATTCTACCTAGCTGTGTCTTATGTCTGGATTTTTGCCTTAATCCCCATCCACAAATTACTGCTGCCAGTCTTTATTTGGTGGAGCCATTTGAAGGTTGCCATCATGCCATAAGACAAATCACTTCCTCTTTTGCTCACAATCCTCCACACATTTTCATCTGTATTGAGACTGAAAACCAAAGTCTCTATTTTGCTAGAAGCAAAATCACCATAGAGTTTGTCTCAAAACTATTATTTTAATTTTTAAAAACCTAAGGAAATAATCCAAATGTGATCATCTAAATGCTATGTTATTTTACCATAAGACATATAACTTAGTAGATCTCATGTATAGTCCAAATACATACAATAGCCAAGTAACATGTATGTTTCACATATACATAATAACAAAGTATCAAAACCAAAGGGCACAGCCACAGGTGGACTTCTCAGGCAAGTAAGTGTGAAAATTGGACCTGTTAAATGTGTCAAGCATGCCTCAAGTGTAACATTCTGTTCCCTTCCTTCCTCCAGAGAGTGATCCTTTCTGCCCTCATATCATCAGTATTCCATCTGAGGGAAGGAAGGGAAAGATCCAGAGGTGGGCAGGGAGCTCAGGGGAGGCTAGAGAGGAGGAAGAAAAAAAAGAACAATGACACATGGATAAAAGTGCCGTAATGAGATTCATTACATGGTGTGCTAGTAGTTTAAAATTTTTTAATTGAAAAGAATAGACTTTGTTAATCTTATAGAACAATCCTGAAAAATATGTTAGCAAGTTAAAATACAGTATAGAGTTACATAAAAAATCATATAGAACAAATGCATCAAAAATTACAGTGGGTGAATTAAGTTTACAAAAATGTTACATTTCTTGCTTTTGGATAATTATATAATTTGTTGCTTTAATCAAGCAATGTGATTATGTTTGCAGTATCCCATGCAGATATTAAGGGAATAGGATGTGAAGTTGTGTGCCGACAGCTTTGTTAACAATTATGCAGAGTAAACTCATATGGATAAAGGTGAGACAGTAACTGTGAAAAACTATTTTTAGAAGAGTGTGTTTCCTTCTTTCACATAACGTGGGATGTGCCTTAATGTTACTGCATTTCAAAATGAATGAAAAATTTTTAAAGTGATAAAGTCACTGTTTCCTGTGAATGCATTACAGAAGGGAACGCATCATAAAGTCACTGGACAAGCAGCTATGCACAACTTACCTTTCTGGGGAGGGGTCTTCTTGTTCCCTAGGATGTCATCACTCTGTTCTCTTATAGGTTTCAATTCTACCACTGTGGCCATTGTGGTATTTTCTTCCTGGGTGACTAGTTTTCGTCAGAAAAAAAAAGGAAGAAAAGAAAAAAAAGCAGGTCCATAAAAAAGAACTGACATGATGTTATCTTTCAGTTGAACTTTAGGAAGAGAGACAGACATAGCTTCATGGATCACAATAATTGGACCCTAATATGAGAAACATTAAAAGAGATAGCACATCGTGCCATAGCACTTGGAGTGGGACTTGAAATAGGGCTTCAATTCTAGACAACAAAGAAGGTTTCTGACTTTTATAGGTTTTCAGGTTGGTGAGCAAGTTTTACTCTACATGATCTAGTCTGGCCTGCCTTATGTACCTAAATTCAGGAAGGCACTGGTAAGGTTAGTATAATTCATGGTTGTTAGTTTAGGGATGGGGTGTGGGGGGTGAGTGAGGAGAGGGGGAAGTGAGGAGTGAGGGGACTGGGTTTCACAGCTGTAAGTGAGAGGGAGACTGAAGGCCACAACACAGCAAATTTTCTTCAGAAAGCTACAGGGGTGTGTGTGCTGATTTCTGAGAGAGAGAGAGAGAGAGAGAGAGAGAGAGAGAGAGAGAGAGAGAGAGAGAGAGAGAGAGAGAGAGAGAGAGAGAGAGCGCTAGAGGCTAGAGGATCTGACCTAACAATGTCCAGGGAAATACATAACCCATAGGTGTGAGTTAAAAGGAGATGCCTTTGGGAAATTTGAAAAGTAGATACCAAGCAATCAAAATCGGGTCCATTCTATCAAACTGGGACACGGTGTTCGGTGTTCAACACAATAGGCATCTGCAGCTAAGGGCTGGAACTGTTTATGACAGGATTTCGCAGTCTCTCTATAGAATGCCTGGAGAACTCTGGCTTGGGAGCTAGGGTCTCCTCAGTTCAAATACAGGTTCACAGTCTACCTCCTTTGCTAAATGGGCAAATCTGAATGCCCATTTCTCTGCTATTAATGACAAAATCCTGAAAGAAATTGCTGTAGCTTTGGCATACATTGCTTGTCCCAGAGTACTAGGAACAGAGCATATTAGAAGATGTAACTATACCAAACACAGATCCTGGTCACCTCAGGACTGTGTTCTTCTGGTGTCTTCTACCTATATCTGATACACTGACTTCTTCTATTTTACCGCCATGGAGGATTCTCATACTGATACCTCATAAGACCCACCATGATTGTCAAAGATAACTAAGGAGCAAGTCTGCATAAGCAGGTGATACAATTCAAACCCTATATTGGTACTGCCCATGAGTTGATTCTATGTCTGTGGAGTTCTCTAAATACCCAACAAACTCATCTTTTTTCACACGAAAAAGCTCATTGCTGTGGTACAATATTAGGGTCTCTATGCCAAAGGAAATTGCTATGTAGTACACTGTGTAGAACTGCAAGGTGTGTGCTGTGTTCAGTGCTCAATTTTATTTAAGGATTAGTTTAAGAGAGATATTTCATTCATGCCACTAATAAACCGACTTATTGGTATATTGTCCCAGAATCTTCTTGTGTCATTACTGAGCAGACCTGCTCTTGTCCTGCTCTCCCTCTCCTGCTGTTGGTGATCTGCTTTTAACGACAAGTAGTAATCTATATTCCCTAGACATGCTATGGAAATGGAAGAGTGCAGGACATGGTTTCTTGTTCTTTCACTAGGCATAATTACCTTGAGGTTTGTGCATATTGTATATATTCATGGTTTGGCTCTTTGTTGCTACTGAATGGTTATATTAAAATATGTTTAATCATTAATTCTTTGACGAGTAATTGTACTGTTTATAGATTTTAAGCATTGCAGTGTCCAGGTCTCTGTATAGCTCTGTACTTTTACTTCTTTTAGATAAATACCTAGTACTAGAATGTCTGTGTTATGTGATAAGTACATACTTATCTTTGTAGGAAGATAACAAACTGCTGTTCAGTACAACTGAGTATTTTACATATCACCAACAGTGTTTGAGGCATCCACATAACCCACTTATATGGTCAGCCTCTGAAATCTGAGGCATTCCAGATGGCAGCTAATTTGTTTTATCTTGGTTTTACTTATACTTCTCTAGTGAAGCTGGGCATCTTTTCATGATATTATTTGCTATCAATATATCTTCCTTAAGCTTCTCCACATTGAAAAATCTAATCTCATCATGCACCATGCAATTTTAAAACTCAACCTTTGGTGGACTGGCAAGACAGCTCAGTGGGTATAGATGTTTGCCACCAAGACTGATGACCTGAGTTTGATTCCCAGAACCCACAGGATATAATGAGAAAAGTGACTCCTCCAAGTTTTAGCATGAACTCCACATGCTAAAACTGTGGTACAAGCATACCCCACAATGGGCACGTATGCGTGCACGTACACACACACACACACACACACACACACACACACATGCTAATTAATATGGGAAAACATTCAAAAATTAGCCTTTCATTTCTAGAGAAAGTGCTTGGCTTCTCTACTCAAAAACTCTACTCAATTTTAATAAGAGACAGGAGTGGGGCCACCTGCACTAGTAGTGATACAGCTTCATTGTCTCAGGCTGAACAAGGTCTACTCTATTTTCATGAGCAGTGTTCCCCACTGAGAAATAGCTATACCCAGTGCTGTGATCTTTGGTGATGCCAGTCTCTGTGCATGCAGCTATGAGACTTGATTCCAGTGTTTAGGACTTTGTGATTGCCTCTTCCCACAGCCCTCTGGCCACTATTCATCTTCTGATGCTCCTGCCCACTGTTAACATTATCTCCCATTTTCGTTTCTTCTTCTGTCCTAAGTCATTTTGTACATTTTCTTTTTACTGATGCTGTGGGTCAAGCCCAGGCACTCATATGTGTACCTCAGCCACTGTACCCCAGCCATTTTTTGCATGTATGTGCATGTGGCTGTACCTATTTACATGAGGATGGATGTGTGTGCTTATGCATATGAAGACAAAGTTGAGTGTCTTCCTTAGACATGTTCTACCTTATTTTTTTGACCAGATCTTTCACTGAACCTGGAGTCCAAGGATGCAGGCAGACTGGCTAGGCAGGGAGCTCCAGGGATCCATATGGCTTCGTAGAGCTAGGATTACAGACACATGCCACAACACTCAGGTTTTTACATGGGTGCTGGAAAATCTAAGGTCTTTATCCATATTCAGTAAGCACTCTTCTACTGAGGCCCCTCTCCGGTTCCCTCCTAGACATTCTAGCTTGTTTGAAGTTTGTACCATCTCACTGGTTTCCTTAATCCAGTACTTTTGTACAAGAGCAGCCCTAGTCCTGCTTGTGCTATAGTTCTGCCTCCTAACTAATCTGGATAGGAATCTAAGACAATGAACATTATTGCCAAAGGCTGAACTCCTTCAGAACTCTGTGGTAACCACATTGCTGAAGAATAACTGTCTAAGAAAAAGACCAATATAATCTGGGGGACAGGGCATATATCTTCATGCTATCAGTGAGAATTCCTGGAAAGAACCCATGTCTACAAAGACTGGCTGACTGATTAGAACTGCAATGATAATTGAGCTAGGCACCAATCTAGTCACAAGAGATGGCCAGTTCAGGTTACATATTGGCTATTGCTAGGAGTCTTAGCTGGGGTCATCCTCGTAGATTCCTGGGAGATTCCCTTGCACCAGGTTTTTAGCTGACCCCCAAATGCCTCCCTCTTTCCAGTAGTCTCTCTCAGTGATTTTCCCCTATACAACCCAAACACACATACAACTACATGTATGTGTTGCTCATGTTCCCATTCCCACCCGTCCTTGCTTCACTCACGGAATCTCTTCTATTTCCCCTTCCCAGGGAGATCCGGGTGTTTTCCCATGAACCCTCCTTATTACCTGGTTTCTCTGGCTCTGTGGATTGTGTCATGATTATCTTTTATTTTACAGATCAGAGAGGCATCACCCTGCAAGTGATGAAACAGATGCAGACCCACAGCCAATCACTAGGTGGAGTTCAGGGAATCCTGCAGAAGAGGGTGAGAAAGGATTGTAGGAGCCAGAGGGGTCAAGGATACATAAGAAAACTCACAGAATCAAATAATGTGAGCTCATAGGGACTCACAGAGACTGCACAGACAACCAGAGAGCCTGCATGGGACTGACCTAGGTACTTTGCATATATTTTACAGTTGTGTAGCTTAGTCCCCTTGTGGGACTCCTAACTGAGGGAAGAGAGGCCATCTCTGACTCTCTTACAGGCATTTAGGACACTACTTCTCATACTGGGTCACCTTGTCCAGCCTCAATATGTGGGGATATGCTTAGTCTTCTTGCAACTTGATATGCCCTGTTTTGTTGCTACTCATGGGAGACCTGCACTTTCCTAAGTAGAAACCAGGAGGAGGGAATTAGGCGATGGGAACAGAGTAGGATTGGAACAAAGGGGGCCGGGAAGAGGGACTGGAGAAGAGGGAGAGGAAACTGCAGCATGGATGTAACAAAAAAATTAAAAGAACTGCAACGATTTGGAAAGGTTGGGATGTTATGGGTCCAGAGGCTAATTATTTTAATTTGGGATAGATTTATCCAGTTCAACAGTCATTCCTTGCCCACCTTCATGCCATACCTAGCATTCTATGAGCAATAAATAAAAATCTTCTGAAATCTATTGGCTTAGCAGACTGCTATCTTCCACCAATGCAAAGTCTATGACTATCACCAGATAGCATCCGAGGCCTAAAGAAAAACTTTCCCCATCTTGCTGTCTCTCTAGTGTACCCTCCAACGTATTTTAAACTTGCCTTGACTTATGATTTTCTTTGTTCTGTACAACTATAAAATTCATGAAATGGCGTCCATGTTGAGACATGTAAGTTTGGGGAACCGAAATCTGTGTTCCCAGACCATAGTCACTCAAATATGGCTCTAGCATAACCTTATATTCCCTATAAGGTAAGAGCTGTGTGTTTTTTGCATTGATAAGTAACAGGCAAAGAACTTATTGCCAATGCTGCTTTATCTAGAGTGGATTTCATAAATGCTAGACCCCTCCTTCATGTCCCCAGCAGCTGACAG